AGATATAGAAGAAGAAGAAGAAGAAGACTTCCAGTTCTAAAAAAGGAAAAAAAAAAGAAGACTAGTAAAAACTATACCAGGAAAAAGTTCAACAGGTTTAATAGTAGGGCCAATACAAATGTTCAAAGAAACAAGCTTTATTTTTAGCTCTTAACCGAAATACGGAACTTTGACCCGGTTAGCGTATAATTTGGACCGGTCAGCGTATAATTTGGCTTGGACAGTTAACGTATAATTTTGGATGGTTAGCGTATAATTTGGGACAGTTAACTTAAGTTATAACAGGTTGGCGTATAATTTGGTCTGGTTAGTAATATCATTTTGACCGGCATTCGGTACACTTTGAACTGGTTTAAGGTATAATTTGGAATCAAATCGAAACAGTCTCATAGATTTGCTGGTTGTTCTGAGCCCCATTTCACAGGTAAGTGCATTTCAGTCATTGACTTCACGAAAGAACAAAGAGCAAGACAAGAACATTTCTAAATAATTTACAGTTGTGAGTAAATTATTCCACACTTTTTTCATGTTAAGCTTTAAATTTTGTTTAAATAATAAAATATTATCGGATCGAGCTGCGCAACCTTGTAGAAGAACAACGACGAAGGTAACTCTCCCCTGCTGTAGTTGGTCAGTGACAAGCCGATCCTTTACAGTGGTCAGCAGGATCGTACAGACAAAATAGGTTTTTATAAGCATTTGTTAAAACGTCTAATAATTAATACAGGTATTTAAATGAATATTTCCACCTGATGTGTATTTTTTAAAACTTGTACAGCAGTTCGGACATGGAAAAAAAAAGTGAGGGGGGGGGAAGATTCCGAAGCCTTGAAATTAGACTGAAGTGAATCAAATTGTTAAATTTGATTTGACCGCTGTGATCGGATTTTACTATGAAGAAGCAAATTCAGAAGAAACTGCCGAAAGCAATCGCGTTTTGGTTGATCTAATGTGGGTCAAACTCTTAGACAGGAAGTTTTAGATTCTAGTTTTTAGAACGATAAACTCTGTACATTAAACGCGATCAGCTGAGAATCTTTGATTTACTTGTAAAATTGGAAGACATGAATGTTATCACGTGAAATATTATACGTTGTGAATTCAATGCCTGATCAGTTTACAGAAGATGGGGAAAGGAAGCTGATGTTGGTGAAACACAGCCAAATGAACTACTTTAATTTCCTGTAGCCTTTTAAGTTGATTTATCGATTGATTGTTTCCATCGTGTTTCTTTCCCTAGGATAATGACGCGTTTTTATCTAGCGAAAACATTTCTTTAATCTCTAAGCCGATTGAAATGTTTCCCCGATGAGGAAATACTTGTCAATTACGCACTTCCGACAACATGGCACCTTTCTAAAGGTTTCTTCAAAGAAAGAAAAAAACAACAACAACAAAGTCAGGTTTAAATAGAATAAATTGTTTGAAGTTAACACTGCATTTAATTTTTCATTTCAACCATTTGGTTTGGAAATATATTTACTATAACAGATGTTTGGTTAGAATACGTTCTTTAATCGGTCGACATAAATATGAAGTCTCATCCAAGTGAGGGAAGTGCTCTGCTGCTACTTTGTCGAGCCTGGTTCCCCCAATCTTTCATAAAGATAAAAGAAAGAGTGTAGCTCACGCAATTAACTAAACTAATCTTGTTCATTAAAAAAAAAAGATAAGTCCGAATTCGAAATCTCCTATTTATTTTATGTTTAAAGAAAATTTGGTCTTTAAAAAAAAAAAGGTGTTAAGGTTGGGAACAACTGCTAGCGGCCAAGTGAGAGGGTTTGTTGTGTAGCTTAGAGGTGAAACTTCTTAGTAGTAATATAAACTTATTTCGATTTAATGCATACTTTTAAATTACAACAATATTTTGCGATCTTCAGTGCTCTGAGGATTTGGAATTTTTACATATATTTTTTATTTGGGGCGGGGGGGGGGGGGGGGGGGCTTCTTTTAAAAAAAAAAAAAGGGGGGGGGGGGGGGGTGGGGGCGCTCATTTACAATAAGACAAAACCGAATTTTAAACAAATTTATGCTTAACACTTCAAACAAATTGTCCCACGATTTACATATCCTGTCCAAATTTTCCCACTTTGACGGAAACAAAGTTTTTCCTTTTATTTAACAGCCTCAACACAGACATTCACCATTTTTGACAATGAGACCCTAAGCTGTGCTGGTGAGAAGAGTCGTGAGCTCAAGGAAAGTTGTGCTTGGTGGTTTAGCGGCAAATGGAGATCACGACCAACGACTAGGTGTCCCCCAAGCAAGAGACAAGGAAACAAACAAGTCTCCGCGCCGAGACGTTGCTGGTGTGATTGTGTTATGAAATCATGAGCGACACGTTGTGAATATTAACCGCATGGAGTTACAACATCCGAGGAAATCTCATCACCATTCTTCATGTCAAGCATCCGGTGAACATCCGAACCAAGGTCTCGTGTCCCGAGACAAAATACCTCCCGGGGAGCTCATGGTTAGGGAACACGGGTTGAACGGCAATGCAGAACATCTTATCGGAGATCAGGCGCACGTTGAGGCCGCGGTGAACGACCAGACAGATGGAGACTACGCTTTCGATGGTCATCTGTCCGGTGACAGGTCTTTAGACAACGGCAACGTAAGCGGTCGTTTATCAGGTTACGAGCTCTATAGAGACGACCCATCCCGTTCCACGAGATGCGCGGATGAAGATCACGACGAGAGTCGACCAACAATCTTCTACGATTGCATCAGACCGGAGGAAAATATTTCCTGCAACAATACGTGCCAAGGGATCTGTGTTATAGAGGAGACAAATACGGATATCAGATACCTGGAGTTGAGCATGGGTGGTAAGTGAAACTATGTTAAGGTCATGGTGATGTTGTAGTTTCCATTGGGAACAAGGGCTAAGTGTCTGATGTAAGATACATTCAAATGATACAAGTATAGTTATTTTAATGTCAGGTGACATAGCTACCGTTTTTTGTCACTTTACACTACGCCTATACTTGTCATGTCAGATTATAGACTTAATGTCAATGCAATAATGTAAAATACGCTATAAAAATATTTCAAAAATTTTGCACAGCAAAGCAACGAGTATAATGGATTTAAAAAAAAAACTTATAATTTTAGATTATTTTTTAAGAATTCAGGATATCCAAGTCTTTCTACTGAGTATATTATATTGAACTAAATATTTATTTATTTAATAATTGTACTGTCACAAATTACAATTAACAAAGTCAGGATGAAAAATAAGTGTAATAAATTCAAGCTACGGAAGTAATCAGACATGAACATCATTAAAAATATATTTTCTCAGGAATATATAATATATTTTTTAGATTTTAATATTCAACAATAATGACAATAATCAGATAAAGCCGTCAATAGTTTTGGATCCCCAAGTAGAGCCCCCCCCCCAACCCTCCACACATTTCATAGACAAGCCTAACATTATTGACAGGCCTTTCAGTTTTCTCTGATCAAGGCTTCAACACCAACTCTAATGCCATGTCAGACCGGATCATGAAACTGAGCCAAGAGGAAGCCATGGCCGCCGACCTGCTCACCGATTCGGAGATGCAGTCCAAATTCGACCGGCTCAAGGAGGATCGGGAGAACATCCTGTCCAAGACCAATCTGCTCCTAACATGGAACTTCATCCAGCTGTTCTTTCTCCTGGCCACCATTTTCTACGCGTGCGTCTGCGTCTGCAACTTCAGACAATCCTTCACGTGCTCCGAGGCTTGCATGTGGAAAGGTGTGAGGGAGAAAAGCTCTAAGAAATGGTGGAGCTTTTAGGGGGGCTGTCTATTCGCAGACAGTCCCCTGTGGGAAATAAGCGCAGCCGCATAAAAGTGTGCTAGTGTTGGCAAGAGCAAGATTCACGCGCATGTTCAAATAGTGTGCATGTTCAATATAGTGCGAGCTCTGACGCACGAAAAAATGTATTACTTTTATCTCCCGGTCTTCGTCGATTATTTTGAAAACATCGTGCCAAGCAAGTTCAATACCATGGCTTTAATAAAATGATTTAAATGACCCCCCCAAAAAATGAGATTTCACACATTTTATTGTTTGTTGATGGAGAACTGTGTAGATTTAGTTCCGTATTATATGTTGTTTTTTTTAATGGAAAACGTTATATAATTAGTTTCGTATTTATTATTTTTTGTTTGCTGTAATTTGGGCTAAAACCGGATTATTTTTATGTCGTTGCTCAGATCTTGTAGAAGTCGATTTCATGTAACCCTCCTTTGATGTCTAATTATCCCAAACCCTCACAAAAACGTGCCGCTGTTTCCATCTGTACAAACACGGCAACAAAAACGCCACATGCAGTCAAACATCGCTCGGTCGCATCTTCGGCGCCGGAAGCTATTTACTTTTCGGGCCCACAACTCGGTAAATCACGATTTTTTTTCCCAGATCTGGACTTTTTACGAGTTGTTTAGATCATCACGATTATGATGGAAATAATACCCAAAAAGAAATTAAAAAAAAAAAATGGACAAGATGTATGAACGTTTGCTTTGAAGTATGGGGAGTTCCAAGACCGGAGCATAAAGAGCAGAGCGCTAATGGAATCCACGAGCGTTGGATGTCAAATTCCCAGAGCAACACTTTCATTGGATGTCATACTCTCAGAGCAACACTTTCACAATTATTGAGATAAATTTCATTTTTATTTGGATTTAATCATCAAACTTGTGGACGAATCTTTTAAAAGTATTTGTGTTTAAAAAAAATGTTTGAAAAAGAAACAACAAGCATAACGTGAATCAATCAGCAAGCATAACGTGAATCAATCAGCAAGGATAACGTCAATCAATCAGCAAGCATAACGTCAATCAATCAGCAAGGATAACGTGAATCAATCAGCAAGGATAACGTGAATCAATCAGCAAGCATAACGTGAATCAATCAGCAAACATAACGTGAATCAACCAGCAAGTATAACGTGAATCAATCAGCAAGCATAACGTGAATCAATCAGCAATCATAACGTGAATCAATCAGCAAGCATAACGTGAATCAATCAGCAAGGATAACGTGAATCAATCAGCAAGCATAACGTCAATCAACGCATGCAACGTTTAAACTCAGTGTCGGCTCCAGATGGGGGTGATTTGGGGGGGGGGGGGCAGTGGCCCCTCGGGTTTTACGGCTAAGGAACAGAAATTGTTTTCAAAGGAGAAATGAACAATGGCATTTATTGAAACGTATTTGTTGAGTTTTATTAACTACATTCTGCGGCATTCCAACTATCTCTAGCGATGGTGTGTATGTGTGTGTATGTGTGTGTGTGTGTGTGTGTGTGTGTTTGTTACGCAGAGAGGGTTCGGGGTAAAAATAATTATGAGGATGACGTAAGCCATTCTGTTACAACAAACAAGTTATACAATACAGCTCTTTTTTTTTTAGTTTAACAGGATTGATAGAGAAAAAAACAACAACTTGTGATGATACAAGAGTACATGATTTAGCTACTCTCAGACCAGATGCTCCTGTCAATCATCATTTCTTGGTATCTCTTGTGTTCTCCCGTGATCCATCTACGTCAAAAAATTTACGCTTAAGTTGGTAAATTTTTTTCAAAAAGTCAATGGGAATATAAATGGAAAAAAAAGCCAACCAACATCAATGCTTTAAATGCATCTGTTAAATCCTGTGACTTTTTATCTCACTGAATGAGTCCAGACACAATGAAGGACTAGCCCGTCCATTTTTATTAGCAATCTTTTTTTTTTATAGAGCTACCCAAACACCATCTACCACTCCATTACATTGGCGGCCTAGACAGTAGTTTCAGGAATGGCGTTTTTAATTAGTTTTTAAAGTCTAGAATCTGTTTACTTGGGGGAAAAGAGGTCTTATTATTTCATCAGCTCGCACGCACGGTTAGATTACAGTTTTAAAACAACAACAACAACAAAAAAAAAAAAACCACCACAACCAAAAATTTGAAAAAAAAAAAAATCAAGATTTGAAAGAAGCAAAACAAAAAAGCGTGCCTAAAGCAACGGAGACCGGACAGCGAGAGCGGGGGTCTTAGCGTCGATCTGGTGGAGAAGTGACACCCAAACCTGCGTCACGAAGGTCCAGGCGAAATGAAGTTACAACCGAGTTGCAGGTCCAGCCGAGTTGCTGGTCAAGCCGAGTTGCAGGTCCAGCCGAGTTGCAGGTCCAGCCGAGTTGGAGGTCCAGCCGAGTTGCAGGTCCAGTCAAGTTGCTGGTCCAGCCGAGTTGCAGGTCGAGCCGAGTTGCAGGTCGAGCTGAGATGAAGGCCCAGCTAAGATGAAGGCCCAGCTGAGATGTAGGTCAAGGAGGAACGAAGTCCAGCCCTGATATAGTAGATCCAGCTGAGGTGTAGGTTTAGCAGAGATGTAGGTACAGCTGAGTTGTAGTTCAAGCTGAGATGTAGGTCAAGCGAGACAAAGTTCTGCCCTGATATAGGTTCAGCTGAGATGCAGGTCCAGCTGAAATGAAGGTCCAATTGAAAAAAACAGTAGTTCTAGCCATGATGTAGGTCTAGCTGTGATTCAGGCCGAGCCATGATGTAGGACCAAACGTGATGTTAGACCCGGTCAACATTTCATTACCCAATAATGATTAATGCTAAACGTTAAAATTTAAGTTTTTAACTTTAAAATTGTTTGAACTTCGTCTGCTAAATATGTCAATGTAAAAGATATGCATTTTTTTAATGCACATTTTGAAAATACAATTATTATTCTAAAGCACCTTTTATCAACTGATAAATAGAGAAAAATTCGAACAGTTAAACAATTGAGATTTGTTTTCTAACCGTCACAAAAATAATGTTTGTCTAAAATTATGAGTGCATCTAAATGGATGTATCAACTTCAGATCATCAACTTCAGAACATCAACTTCAGACCATCAACTTCAGACCATCAACTTCAGACCAAATCGCCAGAATGAAGACGGCAGCCTACTTTCCAAAACTTTTTGATATTAATTATGGAGTCCAATAGGCTGCACCTCGATACTATCGCAACCACATGTTTACATGTTTTAACTACAGGGAGCCACAGCAACGAAATTCTGTTAACATCTCTATTTAGCATCCTCAGGTTTGACATGACGCAGTCAAAAAACTAGTATCTGTTAATCGCGATATGAGGAGAGACATCTCGTCAGCAGTGACGCATCATCGGTAAAGTTGACTATCATTCTGCTGCGTGCTTCTGAGGTCTTGAGTTCTGTGCTTCTGCTTAAACATTTTGTCCTGACGAGAATGCGTGCGATGCTTCATGTCTTGACACTTGCTCTCCCAGGTCGGGGCCCTCATCACCATCAGGGTGTTTTTGGGGAATGCACGAGGGTAATACCATTGGCAGAAGTGAACCCGACGGGGAGGGGGGAGGGGAAAAAGAATAATAATAAAAATAATAAGTTTACCTCTAATATTTTTACGCGATCAGTCGGTCCCAGAAGTCGTCCGGCAAAGGAATCCTATATTTGGCTTTCCTTTGGCCGCCACGAGGCCGGATGCCAGCGAGACAATACGAGAAAATAAACCCCGGTGATCTGGGGCGGGCAGGAGGTCGTATGTGTTATCTCCAGACATTAACGGATTTGTCGTGACTTAATCCCTGAGGAGTCGGGCAGACATTGTGGAGCATCCCCCGCCGACTTAGTACAAAGGCAGCTCACCAGTGACTCCGCTGTTCTACTTCGGATATTTGAAATAATTGACACACTCCATCGTTCATGATCTCGCAAATTCTGGGGAAATAAGTTCGTTGCTGTGCAGCACTAGAAGTTGGGCCTTCAACAGTTTTAGCCAATTATGCCTAATGGAAACTGGCAAACCGCTTTCCTATAACTAAGAGGCCTGCCAAATTGGACCGTTAATTATGAATTATTCTAGTTGAATTCGGGATGGTACTGCCAGAAGAACTGAAAATGAGCTTTATATTCACTTACCGCTCACCAATCGTTGGACTGTTGCCGTCAAGTCAAAGAGAGTATTAATTAAAACATCATCTAAAAAGAAATTTAATTTTAAAAACAAATATATTTTAAAAAATCTCTATTTTTAAGAAGACATTGGCTAAATAAACTAATGTTACCGGTATTAAAATCTTTATTTTCAGATTTCGTTCATAGTTGTTAATGTGTAGCACTTGAAGGATAAGATTTTGACAGTGTTTAAGTATATTTTATCATTTATCGTAATATGCAATATTTAAACACTTCAAATTGGCAGTAAAATAACTTATTTCAATTCAGAAATTATATTTTTCCTCAACCGAAAACTTGCTTATTAAGGTAAAAAATAAATAAATACAGTTATAATGTACCTAAAATGTATTTCCTTATTAATTGTAGTTTTTTTTTTTTTTTTTAAACGCTGAGTTCTGATTTCTCCCTCTTCTTTGTTTTTTCTTTTTCTGTAAACATCCTAACGGTTTGCCCTTTTAAAAAAATAAATAAATACAGTTATAATGTACCTAAAATGTATTTCCTTATTAATTGTAGTTTTTTTTTTTTTTTTTAAACGCTGAGTTCTGACTTCTCCCTCTTCCTTGATTTTTCTTTTACTGCAAACATCCTAAAGGGTTGACCTTTTAAAAGCAAGGAGCGTGGTTGGTACGACACAAGTAAAGTCAAAATCTACGCGTGCCATTTAAAGACTCTCTGTAATTTATCCAATCAAAAAACAGCAAACAGGTAAAGACAGGATGATTTGAATCAACTTTTGGGCTTAACCTCGCTCGCATTTCCCAAGAATTACAAACAAAAGAAAACTTTTAGCTACGGACGCCGAATGTCTTATAAGATTTTAAGGACAACCTGATCATTAATGAGCCAGGCTGGAGTCGGAGTTGCCCTTGTTTGTTTTTTGTTTTTTCTGACAACGTAACCATGGTGATGCCTTCCCATAAGCTCACGGCATTACCACGACGGTCCTCAACGCCTGTTGTTAACACACACGAAGCTCAGGGGCGCTTTAAATGTTGCTCCCCATCCCGGCGTCCCCCCCCCCCCCCCTTTCATTTCTTCCCTTGTTTCACG